GGAAACGGCTACGTGGTTGCCTTGGTTAGACAGTCGTATAGGTGTCGTGTAATGATTTTATAGAACAATGTTCCACCCAAAAAGGGAGCTGCTCTCTGCGACGAATTTCATCCGGATGGATGCCGTCGGACGCCTGCTATAACGTTGGGACAGGTCGAATTGAATTTTTATATTTTGATCAGTTGGCTTGGCGCCTGGTCTGATCATTTTAGCCATGAGCCTTTGATAGTTATTGGTGAACTGTATTATGGGAGTGTAGCCGGTTGAGTGAAACAAGCGGCGTGCCCCTCTTAAGTAAGAATAAAAATTAAACATGGAGAGTAGCCGACTGTTTGTCAGTAGGCATGCCCCTCTTAAGTAAAAATGAAAACTGAGTATGGAGAGTAGCCGACTGTTTGTTAGTAGGCGTGCCCCTCTTAGTACAAAATTGAATATATTTGCAAACTAGATTTAAAAACAGAAAAAATTCAAACCAAATTAATAGAAAAAAAAAGGAAGACATACCTTCAATTTTACCGGAAAAACGTCGAATTTGGGCTTTAAAGGTCAAATTCGACCATGAAAACTCTAGATCTAGAGTTTTAATGGTCGAGTTTAACATGAAAAACCTTACTTTGTTCAAAAAATTAAAACCCACAATCATATATGTTGATTATACTGATGATGAGGCTGATTCTCTCAAAAAATTAAAACCTTACTTTGTTCATGGAAGAGAGGAAGGAGAAGAGGAAAAGAGAACAACGAGAAGGAGAAGGAGGCGAGAAAGACGAGAGATAAGAGGAAAGAGAAGGGGAAAGAGAAAAGAGAGGAGAAGAGGAGAAAGAAAGAGATTCAGATAAACTGAGAAAGAGAAAGGGAAGGAGAAGAGAAGAGGAGAGAGAAAGAGAGGACGAAAAAATAAGGGGAAAGAGGCGGAAAGAATAAGGAGGGGAAAGGGGATCAATAGGGTTAAAGGAGTTTATTTTATTTTTTAAAACAATATTATTCCGGACTATAAATCCGTCGGAAATTGTAAATTATGACGGAAAAATCCGTCGGAAAGCACATATATTCCGACGGATTTTATTTCCGTCGGAAATTTCCGACGGAATGGTTGAGTTTGTCGGAAATATCCGACGGAACATGAATCCGTCGGAAATTCGCTTTTTCCGACGGATTTTCGGGTCCGTCGGAACCAGTCCGTCAGAATTTGCCTATTTTCTAGTAGTGTTGACTGATTTATTGACTTAATATGTTTGATTGAACATGGATTTTAAGCACTCCCGAGATTAAATACTCGACCCGACCAATAATAACGGTGAAAGGTTGTTCATCATCGGGTTAAGTTTTGGGGAGATATTTTCAGGTATCTACACTAAGTTATTCAATCAACATGTAATGCTTTAGACACTTTATAAGAGTTATAACGTAGTGCATCTTTATGATAAGTATACATCAATGATCTATCGATCTTTGAAAGTTTATTTACACTCTCTCTCATCTCCTTTACCTACTCCTCGATTATCAATATGTACTTTTTCAGTTTTTTTTTAGTTATATACTTGGGGCACTTACATAAAGTTACTTTGACTTTTTAGTGTTAAGAAAAAACATAGTTATGTACTTATGTAATCTTGTTAGATTCAACTTAGCATATATTTTCAAATATCATTTTTTTAATCAAAATTTCATACAACATTTTTTACTTATACATAAATGTAGATATCTATATCTGAAAGTACGTGTTGACAAAAACGGCTAAATTATATATGTACTAAAATCAAACGGAGGAATTGAAGTGGTAGTAATGTAGTATAGAGTGTTTCAAAGGCCTTGCCTTGATAAATCCATTGTATATTTTAAAAATCGCCTTAAGGGTATTGCATTAAGAGATTTTCTTTTAATCCCTTGCCATCTTTCAGTTGTTCGAGCCATTCTATAATTAAGTATGTCTACGTCTATTGAAATTTTGAAAGATATATTTCCTTTTAGTATCCTTTAAATGCCAAGGTGATTCATATTAAAGTACAATTAAATTAAACTTTAAAAATTAAGACTTTTACTAGATTAGTTACCCGCGCGTTGTACGGTGGTGATAAATAATTTTTTTCATATTACTTTTATATATTTTGTTGTTGAAAACTTTTTAAAATAACTCGGCTTGCTTTTTCTGTTTAAAATTTTTTATATAATTTTTAAAAGTATATGTATGTAGTCCTTTTATTAAATGGTTATTTTTTAATGCTGCATCATAATATTTACTATGTTATGTAAATTATACTAAAATGATGGTTAAACAAATATAATTAATGTTGCATTATCTATTGAGCTTATATTTTTAGAGTAGAAGCTAAAGAAATATTAACAATATTGATGCCAAAGTCAAATTTCGAATTTTTAGTTTCAAACTTACTTGGTCCTAGTTTCTAATTAAAAAAAAAAAAAAAAAAAAAAAAAAAAAAAAAAAACTGATAACATCATATATTAATTTGGAGGGAAATTTTTTAATGAGAACTTGACACGTAAGACACTTTAAGGAATTGATGACATCAACATATTTTATTTTAGTAATAATTAATAGATAAGTATGTAGTTGTATAACCAACCAAAAAAAAAAAGTATGTAGTTATATTAGTGGCTTAGTGCACTTAATGGTGGAATAGACATCTCCTTTTCTGCTGTATGATAGTGTAAATGTTATGGTGTGACACATTCTCGCTTATAAAGTAAAAAAAAAAATTAACTTTATATATACTGATAACTAAAGACGACGCATCACTAATGATACCTCAATGTATGTTTCACAAAATATATAAGTTAATACGAATTGAAATATGTCAAAATTGTCATTGTAGTTGATCTATATTTCATACGTAGCATTACAAACTTTAAACTAATTTATTTTATCCAACGACCAAAATAATAATATTAATAATAATCTTGAATTGAAAATTAATAATCTATGTCAACAATAACACTAAATTTACTAGAAAATGAAAGCACGAATGTGTAAAAAAGAAAGCAATCAAAATGAAATCGTAAAAGAAGAAAAGAGAAGGGGATACAAATTTCTAAAAAAAGCAAGGATAAAGACGAACCACATAAAAAAAAGAGAAGATATAAAAAGTCTACAATGTGTACTACATATCTATTATGATTTATGAAGCATGCTTGAACCTTCTCAATCTTCATACATGTTTAGTCATCGTCTTATAATTACTCTTAATTGCCTGTTTACATGACTACTTTGGTAAAATTTTAATAAGCACTTTCATAATTAATCTATATAATAATCTTTGGTACGTTGGACACGCTAGTTGTATATAATGATACATCGTTCATGCATCAACATCATTAATTAATCCATTTTGGAACTTGAGATGAACAACCCCAACATGATGTACCTTAGTCCTTAGGGGTAGCTTATCTAGTGTTATTGTGTTAGAAATTAAGGTTGCATGTTTAAAACTTGGATAGACAACAATTACAATACCTTTGAAATAATTTTTTAACATATACTTCTTCTGTTTGATTTTAGTTGACACTTTTTGACGACTTTCGCCACTATTTACATATATAAGTTACTTTGACTTTAATTTGTAATTTAAATTAAAGAAAAACATAGTAGTCGACTAGGGTCTTGTTTTAATCATTTCAAATTCTCAACGTCAATTTTAATTTCTCAAATATCAATTTTTTACTTGTTGCAAGTAATTAAAGGTATTATTATTTGAAGTAGTTATGCATTGGCAAACACACCTAAATGAAATGTGTCAACTAATATGAAACGAAAGAAATATAATAGATGATGATGATGATGATATGTATGAAAAGGCAAAAGCTAACAAACGCCCCCGGGACATGGATAAGATGATTAAAAGCTGTAATATTGAATGAAAGTAAAGATTAAGTATGATCGAGACGTGATTTTGGCATGCATTACCAAATTAATACCATTTTAGAAAATATTTTAAATGGTAATCTAATGACCTGGGGGCGCTCATTAGCAAGATTCTTATGAAAATAATAATAAGACATAATACTCCCTCCGTTTTTTTTTAAGTGTCTCACTTCTCAAAAATGGCCGTTTTTATTTAAATGCCCAACCCATTTCTAAATTTAGAAACCCTACTCACATTTATATATTATTTCTCTCTCTTTCTTTTGCTCTCACTATTATTTTATAATATTTCTCCCTCTCACAATATATCTAGCATTCCTTATTCATATTTCCATCTCTTACTTTTCCAAATTTTTTATTCTTATTCATACTTATAGACTTTATATTATTTTACTCTATGCACACCCCTATAACTCCGTGCACACCCCTATATGAAATTTCTGGCTAGTGACGTGTCCAGTCAGAGAATAAATATAAGTACTTTGTATTAAATATATTGTCTATAATAATTTAAGAACAAATGACAAAATCACATGTTTTTTTTATGTCACTAATGTTTAATTAATGCACATGTGACATGTCTCATTTCAATCTCTTGTAACCTAAAGTTAAGGTTATGTATATCATTATTACAGAGTAGTAATGAGTTAATGACCTTTTATGGCTCAACAACATCATCACTTAATGATCTTATTAAAGTCATGGACATGTACGTAGTTGTCTATGATTTTTCCATCATGTTACTATGTTAGAATAAAATTGCACCACATACAACATATTACATTGGAGTGATTGGACACATTACTATATGATTAACTTTCAATATAATATATAAATAAAATAAACAAAACTTATATCAAGGTCAAGTAATATTAATTGAGGGAGTAATATAGTAATGAGAATTGCATGATTAATTAAATTGCTTTCGTACAGGAAAAGAAAAGTTCAATCATGCAACCAGCAGTTATTTTTATTTTTTTATTTTTAATTTTTTCTTATTTTTTTTTTTAGGGAAAATCATGCAACCAGGATTTGATGTGCATGTATTCACCTACTTTGCGCGCATTATTGCATTTTTACATGCGGTGAAAATTGACCTATAAATACACCTCCTTAGGCCTCATTCTTTACTTCACAAGAGTCTTAGCTTAGTGCTAGTCCTTCATATAATATAATGTCGACCTTCATCATGAAAACTTTGCTACTCACCATTTTCATTATCATGTCCTTTTTTTCCTTCCTTTCAACAACGTCATCAGTTGCTGAAGCCGCTAGGCTTCCAGGTAATTATTATAGATTATGTACAAAGTATGAAGTACGACGTATGTTATTATCATATTCTTCGTAATATATGATGTCTACTGCTCTTTTTTTCCTGCTCAACCCACCTGTTTTAGAAAGAAATTATTATAGTAGTATAATACGAGAATTGTTACAAGACATTGAAGTTTTTGGCTCAAAAAATTAGTAAAACGAATGAAGTTACTCTCGAATAATAATTAACATATGAAAGGTAACTACGTACGTAGTCATATATTGTAATATGCTATGGACGATCATATAATGTTTGCCCTTTTAACCTTATGACTCTTCATATTTGTATGCATGTTACAGGGGGTACTGACGACTGGTATGCTAACACTTTGAGAGTTGTAAGGAGGCCAGGACATTCGCCGCCACCATATCCAAAGCCAGCCCCTCCGGAGCGTGATGTCATGGTCGCAAGTAATTTTCTATGCACTCATAGTTCACTATATATATATACATATAGTAGCTACACCTACCAGAATAATAAGATAATTTATTTTCAAATATCATGACCAATTATTTTGCGCAATTCTTTCATGTACTATGTATTATACTTCATTGATATGAAAAATTAGTAGGGGAAAATAGGTATAATCATCATTATCATTTTGCAGATTATAGGATCGATCGACGAGTTTACACAATAAATGTGTTTAGTCATCCTGGTCATATCTTATCAACGTCAAGCCAAACCAAGCAGCAAGTTAATCATGCTTGACTACTCACCCATGCTATCCTAAAATTATTAAATTTATATGGTTGGTGATTCGATAAATTAATTATACATCTAACGCTAATAAATAATCATTTATTGGGTAATTATTTATATGTGGCTCCTAAATTCATCCTCAACCTAGCTAATTTGATTCCTATTTCTCAAAAAAAAAAAAAAAAAAAAAAAAAAAAAAACTAACTTGATTCCAAGGACATACTTTGTTGAGGCCCAAAGGGGCCCAAGCCCTTTTACTTCATTTAATTTCTATTTTTATTTTTAGAAAGAAATTTTGTACTATGATTGTAAACATGCATCATATGATTTATTTAAAATCTTACTAGTTACTTAGACATATAATAGTAAAAAAAAATATAAAAAAATAATAGTACTAACATAACGATGTTATTATACATGAATGATATGCAGGTTATCTTAACAACAAAGAAAATGATGATAATTTAGAGAGGCCTAAACATCCACCACCTTCATATCCAAAGCCAGCACCACCACACCGCGATGTAACATCTTCAAGGGCTGATCAATTATCCGTCTTAGCCTCAGCATATATTATGACTACTATATAAATAAGTGACGCAGTCATGCAGATTCACTATATATTACGGGAGTATATATGGGTGTAGGACTGGGTGAGGTTTATTCGACGTTTCATTCGAGCCCTGGGTGATTCCGGGGGCTGGCCTGGGGTGTTATTATACCATACCTAAGCTACGTACACTTTTGCTTCCTCCATATATTTGAATTATATATGTATGTATCATAAGGTTGCTATCTTTGATGTATTATTGTAATATTTTTATCGCATTCCTTGTTTAGGGCTTATTACTTCCTATCCCAAGCCCTATTTCATTACCTATCTATAAATATTAGTAATAATAAAATAAAATCACTGCACTTGCTTTCTAGCTAAGTGCAAGCTATTTAATTGGCTAATATTGTATGTACCAATGTATGTATAATAGGCTATATATTCTCAATGAATATGAATAACAAATTGGTTATAGTTTTAAAATTCATATGTAGTGGTCCAATTTGTGTTCTTTTACAATTTGCCCACTTTGGTTAAATAAGGATGAAATTTCTTATTGGTAGACGTCTCGATCTACATCTTCAGCTTAGTTGGTTGTACGAGCATCTATTTTTTCTAAAATGAGATTTTTGTGTGAGGCAGGTGTATAAGAGTTCTTGACCGCTAAATCTAGAATTCTAGACATTAGAGATTTCATTCAATCGCTAGTAGCTTGTCAAGAAAGTAGGTGGTCGGTAAAATAGGGGTGCAACCGTACTATGTATGATAAATACTTTGTATAACATTAGAACTTTATATAGAATACGAGTACGAGGTTAGAAGCTTGTACAAATTATTAAAAAAAACGTGGGTGATTTATTCCGTGAATTGATTTTCATCCTTTGATTGATTAGGTGAAAAGAATAACTTATTTTAGAGTTGATGAATAAAATCGACCAATTGTTAAAAGACAAGAAATTTTAAAAAATCGGTTAAAAAAAAAGGAAAAGAAAAACAACCCACTATAAAAGACTCCACACATGCAACTACGCAAGTAGCAAGGTCAGACAAGCACGATTATTATTGACTTGATATCAATTACTCTTTAGTCCAAAAAGATATGCTTTAATTTGAGCAACTTTAACCAATTTACAGAATGGTGAATAAAATCTTAGTGGGAGACAATGGTTGATTTGATATTGATTAATTATCCACCTTTCCTTTTAAAACAATGACATTATTATTCATGTGTTTTTCTTTACTCTTTCCGTTTCTAGATACAAGGTAACATATTTGTTTTTAGACATTAAAATCTAATTTTTAAACTCTTTCCACTTCTAGATAAAAGGTCACATATTTGTTTTTAGACATCAAAATCTATTGATTTTAGCCTCTGATACTCACATTGAATGATGATACATTCCAGTGATTTAACTAAAAAACTCTACAAATGGAATATTTATTTGGAAAAATTGGTAAAAGTAATCTCAATTTTCACGTATTCGCTTTAAATAATCCCAATTTTGGATTAATATTAAATAATCCCAACTTTAGGGTGTATTCGCTTTCTTTGGTCCCTAACCGATTACTAACCTATTATAATAGGTTAAGGTGATACGTGTTTCCATGTGATTGGTTGAAAAAAAAAATAAAAAAATAAAAAAATCTTACAAAAATTGAAAGACAAAAAAAAAAAAAAAAAATTGCCAAACCACCACCCACGAACCACCTTCCCCACCACCCACAAACCACCTTCCCCACAACAGCTGCGGCGGCCAAAACCCCCTTCCCCACCCACGTGCCGGCCACAACCTCCTCCCCCGCGCCAGTAGCTCCCCTTCCCCACCCACGTGGCGGGTTTAGGGCTGCGGAAATGGTTGTTTGAGGGAAAGGGGCTCCGGTTAGGGCGGTGCCGACGTGGGGGAGGTGGTCTGGGCGCAGCAGGCTGAGGTCGGGGACTTGGGCTAGGTCGGTGGCAGACCCGACGTCGGTGGTTGTCGTGGGTTGGGGCTTGGGGGTTGGCTTTTTTGTTGTTATTTTTTTTAATTTTTATTTTTAATTTTTTAATATATTTTCAACCATTAACGCGATGACACGTGTTAATTAACTTTTTTGAAAAAAAAATTATTTATTTAACAGGTTACCAGTCATATGGGACTATTTTGAACGAATGACCCCCAAAATTGAAATTATTTAATAATAATTCAAAGTTGGGATTATTTAAAGCGACTTCGTAAAAATTGGGATTATTTTTATCAATTTTTCTTATTTATTTAATCAAGATAAATACAACCTAGCAACAAATTACTCAAGGTAATTCATGTCAGATCAACTTACAATTTCTCATGCATCTATATGAAAGTACAACAACGTTTCTTGGGAGTTGGGAGGAATGATTTCTAGACCCGAGATTGGATCAGATCAATCAATCCAAACTCGTCCAAACATGCCATAACAATAAAATGAGGAGAACCCGCTTAGTTAGTAAAGTAACTCTCAGTGATACACAACTCTTGTTTTCACATATTTTAAAGGTCTATAGCACAAAAGACAATAAAATTATTTCAAAATATATACAAAATACTAGTCCTAATCTCGTTAAAAAACCTAATATGATAAAAATACAAAATATATCCTAATTAACTCTGCGACAAATATTATCCTACAATAACATCAATCACATATGATAGAAATGCAATATCTGAGTTTTCACGAATATATTATTTTATTAGTGAAAATCTTGTCCTCTTTCTACTGATAATGCACCAATCTAGCTGGATTTTTTGTTTCTACTAAGAAGTTTTGCATAATTGCAGACCAATCATCAGATTTAAGATAATATAAAATTAAAAAAATCATTCACAAAGATTATGCACGCAGCAACTGGCCTTTGATTCCAAAAATGTTGTTCAATCTATCACGTGGCAACTTTGCTACTTCATATTAGCTTTACAATGTTACTGATCAAATTAAATTTATTAATTTGTATAACATCAATACAATCTCTATAATAATTTGTTCTTTTGTTGCATTTCAATAGTAAACAATAACCTGTTTTACATCTTGTTACATGTTAAAAGAAACATGGGCAATGAATATTATCAAGGTAATTTGCTTCATGTAGTGTTCTTCCCATTTATGGCTCATGGCCATATGATCCCAACACTTGACACCGCGAGGCTCTTTGCAGCTCGCGGTGTCAAGTGTACCATCATCACTACCACTTTGAACTCCCCATTCTTCACAAAAGCCATTATAAAGAGTAAGAAAAATGAACGTTCAATGATAGGAATCGAGGTGTTTAGGTTTCCGTCAGTAGAAAATGGTTTGTCCGAAGGATGTGAGAATTTGGAGCAAGCCATGATGTCTTTAGGTATGGCAGAGAAGTTCATTAAGGCTGCTGCAATGCTAAGAGAGCAGCTCAAGCAGTACTTGGAGAAGACGCGGCCGCATTGCCTTGTGGCCGACATGTTCTTCCCATAGGCAACAGAGTGTGCAGCTAGGTTCAACATTCCTAGGCTTGTTTTCCATGGGATTAGCCTCTTTGCACATTGTACTAAAGAGATGATTATGATGTACAAGCCTTACAACAACGTCTCTAACGATGAGGAGTCATTTGTTGTTCCTTTCCTTCCCCACGAGATTATGCTAACAAGGTCACAAATCCCTCGAGAGTACTTGGTGGAAGGAGAGCAATCTGAACTCAAGAGAAGGCACAAAAAGATTCAAGAATCGGAGGTCCAATGCTTTGGAGTGATTGTCAATAGCTTCTACGAGTTGGAAACTGATTACGCCGACTTCTTTAGGAAGGAGAGCATGGCATATTGGCCCGGTATCCTTATGTAACAAGAGCCTTAAGGATGAGGTGCAAAGAGAGATTGATGAATCTTCCTTGGATGAACATAAGTGGTTGAAATGGCTCAATTCAAAGAGGCCGAATTCAGTGATTTATATATGTTTTGGAAGCTTGGCTCACTTGATAGCACCTCAATTACAAGAGATTGCAATGGCTCTAGAAGATCTGGACTACGAATTTATTTGGGTTGTGAGGGAAGATAAATATCGAATGAGTGAAGAATGGTTGCCTCAAGGGTTCAACGAAAGGACTCAAGGAAAAGGTCTAATTATAGGAGGATTGGTTCCACAAGTGCTAATCTTACAGCATGAAGCCGTAGGAGCATTTGTGACTCATTGTGGATGGAACTCGACACTAGAGGCAATCTCAGCTGGTGTACCGATGGTTACATGGCCTCTTTTTGCTGAGCAATTCTACAACGAAAAATTGGTGAACCATGTCTTAAAGATTGGGACTCCTGTTGGAGCTAAGAAGTGGAAAGTGGTGCATTCTATAGAAGATCTTGTGAAGCAGGAAAACATAGTGAATGCGGTCAGAAAGATAATGGGCGGCGATAAGGCTCTAGAAAGGAGAAACAAGGCAAGGAAGTTGAAGGAAATGGCAAGAAAGGCTATAGAAGAAAATGGTTCATCATATTGTGATTTAACTTCATTGATAAATGAGTTGAGAGATTACCATTCTCAAAAACATGATTAGTATATGGTACTTAATGTCTAAAAGTAATTAGACAATAATAACGAAAATTTTATGGAATGCTCAAAATGTAAAAAAATGCTAATGACAAATATTATGGTTTTTGGGCTTATGGGTCTCTTCCTATATGGACAAATCCATTATTGTTTGGTATTATTAAGCCCATTTATGGAAACCTTAATGACTGATTATGAGGTACTTAGGGTTTTGCTGAGCAAAATCATTAGCTTCCTTTTGTTGATTTTGGAAGTAGCTCATCTAGTTTCCAAGGAAAATCTGCAACTGTCAGACCCTGAGTATAGAGTTCAAACAGAAATTTTTATGGTCTGATTTTGGCTGAGTTTTCGTCAGCTGTTCCAGTATACATTAGGCTTCAATCAACGGTGTGATCGAGTTTTGCTGCTTTGGCTACTGGCTAGTGAGATATTATGGCTGCATATCTGAGCTCTGTTTTATAGTGAAGTTTTCTACTCTGCCGCCCTCAGTTTTAAATTTGCTTCCTTGCTTGTTTCATTTGTTCAAGTGCTGCCTAGCAGTGAGCTTTAGTCATATTTGATTGTGTTGTTATTGGGATAGAATCATAGAATATTGTACACGGAAAAAAGCCTATGTCAATATCCTAGCTTGTTTCATGTGTGTAAAATTGATTAATCTCGAATATTAACATAAACAAACTGCAAGTGTCGTCGTAGTGGTTGTCTACACCAATACTTCACTAAGACAATGTCCCTTTCCCTTGCCAAAACCCACATAAAAAGTTTCTTGTATTCTTTTTATCACAGAACCAATTAGAAGACATTAATATTATTTAAATATGTTATAAATATCTCAATACATGCCATGTGTAGCTTTCCCAATAAGAATACTCCATTAATTGCTGACCACTTATTAATTTATTCTAGACTAAAAGTAATACAAGAACATGATATGTTATATATGAGATTATGCTTCTTACCTATACTATTGCAAGATTTGCAACCATTACAGAAATCTAGGCTATCTAGCAATTTAACAATATAGTTTACCTGATCTATTTTTTGTTTTCCTCATAAAAAATGGCTAATGATGAACCTCAACAACTCCATGTAGTTTTCTTCCCATTCATGGCATATGGCCACATGAACCCCACCATAGATATCGCGAAGCTCTTTGCAGCTCGAGGTGTCAAGGCAACCATCATCACCACACCTCATAACTTATCGATCTTCACCAAGGCCATTGAAAAGAGCAGACAAGTCGGATCCCCTATGATTCATGTTGAGCTCTTCGAATTCCCATCAACACAATGTGGTTTGCCTGATGGGTGTGAGAACGTAACTCAAGCCATACCGATTGGCATGGTCTCGAACTTCATGAAGGCAGTCAAGATGCTAGAGGTGCAGCTCGAACAATACTTGGAAAATATTCGACCAAACTGTCTGGTGTCTGATATGTTCTTACCATGGACTACTGAATGTGCAGCAAAGTTCGATGTCCCTAGGGTGGTATTCCATGGAACTTGCTACTTTGCTCTTTGTGTTCAGGAAGTTGTTAGGCTACATAAGCCTTATTTAAATGTTTCGTCTGATGAAGAGCCATTCATCCTTCCTTCTCTACCCCATGAGATAAAGATTACAAAATTGCAAATTCAAGAGGATTTAAGGAAAGAAGAGCAAAGTGATGCCAAAACAGAATTTGATTTGATCAAAGAATCCGAACTCAAGAGTTTTGGTGTAATTGTTAACAGCTTCTATGAGTTGGAACCTGATTATGCAGACTATTTCAGTAAAGAATTAGGAAGGAGGGCATGGCATATCGGCCCTGCTTCGCTCTGCCATAGGAGCATTGAGGACAAAGCGCGAAGAGGGAATCAAGTTTCGGCAGATGAACACGAGTGCTTACAATGGCTGAACTCTAAGCAAGAGGATTCAGTCATTTACATGTGTTTCGGAAGCATGACTCAATTTTCAGTTACTCAGCTGCGTGAAATTGCAGTAGCTTTAGAAGCTTCCGAACAAGATTTCCTTTGGTTTGTAAAGAATGATGAGGACTTAAAGAGTGAAGAGTGGCTGCCACCAGGATATAAACAAAGGATGGAAGGCAAAGGCCTAATACTAAAAGGTTGGGCTCCGCAGCTGCTCATCTTAGAGCATGAAGCCGTAGGAGCATTCGTGACTCATTGTGGGTGGAACTCGATCCTAGAAGGCATCACTGCCGGTGTACCTATGATTACATGGCCTGGTTTCGCCGAGCAATTCTACAACGAAAAATTAGTGACCAAGGTATTAAAGACCGGGGTCCCTATTGGAGCTAAGAAATGTCGTTGGGATCCTTACATCGACGATTTGGTGAATTGGGACGCAATAGAGAAGGCATTGAGAGACATAATGGAGGGAGATGAGGCGCGGCAGAGGAGAAACAGGGCAAAGGAGCTGAAGGAGTTGGCACTAAAGGCTGTTGAAGAAGACGGTTCATCATATTCGAATTTAGGTGCATTTATCAATGAATTAAGGCATTATCATGCTTAAATGCATGATGTATTTAGTCAATCAGTATAGTTCTTAACATCTTCAGACTTCTAAATCTTCTTGCCTATGACATGATCAGGACCAATTTTTTAATATATAATTGTCACTCTTTTAATTGTCTCTTTATAATATATGCTTGTATTCTACTATCTTGTTCATACCAACTTTCTACAGATGTCTCATAAATGCCTGAACCTCAGCCACAAGAAGATTGAAGATGGTCTTCCAAAAGGATACGGAACTTGTGGACCTTCATACCACATACGTCAAATTTTGGTCTAATAAATAAGACAACAATGCTAGTACCCCCTGTGCTTCCTAACAATAGTCACGTATATTACTTTGAGATGTCTAAAATATTAGGAACGAGTAAGCTTATGAATTTGTTGTAAGAAGATGATAAGGCCATTAATATCTCTCTATACCGGATTAAAAAATATACTCATATAAAATTAGCGAAAACACTAGATTGAGTTGGCTCTAGCTAACGGTAAAACCATACGTGCTTATGTTTATATAAGTACATATGTTACCTCTCAAATAAAATACACAGTGCATAACATTGCTCCCATTTTGTCATGTTCTTGGACATATGTTATACTGTGCATGTGCTTAACACAAACCTCCACCAGAACATCTTCTCCTAGTAACTTCCACCGTCACTGATATTTCTTCAGTTCCCTAAGCCCAGAGAAAATGTCTAACGTCATAACATGAGATCGTTTTACACAAATTTTGAAATATTCGAAGTTCTTTCTTGACGAAATCACCACTAAAAATAGGGGGAAAAATATAAATAAATAAATAAATACTTATAATGGTTTTAGGCTTCAATTTTCTACATTTTTTAGACGGGATTTATTCTCTATATTACTGAACTTAAAAAGATTTTTGTTGAACTTAGACTATATTTTATTATAAAAGATTAATTATAATAGTTTATTATTAAATTTATTCTTTAAATTTATGAGTGCTTATTTTTACAGAATATACTTTTTTTTAACTTAGAAGAGAACATAACCTAAAGTACCTAATTACTCCGTAAATAATATTGTAAAGCTATTGAATATATGACTTTTCTCTTACAGCGGAATAAGCGGATACATCCTACGCCTTCCTAAACTGACGTAATGGATGACCAGCCAGTTTCAAATTACGCAAACAACATATATCAATCTAATACTCGTAAGTCGTAACAATTATTTTTATCGAATAACTGAGTGTATATAGGTGTATAGGACCTATGTATTTTGCATGCATGTAGGAGGGTAATTGGGGATTTAGTGGTACATTTTCTCTCTTTTAATGATACAGTGGTACATTTTTGTGTACTATTATGCATGAAGTGGTACATTTTGTCATCATATTTTCTGCCACCTCCCATTATTTACAAAAATGTCATCTTATTTGCAACCGAAATATATAGGGCCTATGCACCAATACTTATTACAAATAACTTTCTTAACTTGAAGAATTGACGTCATAGATAACCAGCCAACTTCAATTTTGCTTCCCTTATTTCGAGGGTGCTCCAAGCAATTCTAGATCACATTTCATAAACTTCGTAGTATATATATATAGTAACGCAATATATTATTGTATATCAATCTAATACAACTTCTTCTAACTACGCTAGATTTTTCTCTCAATTATTATATCATCAATATGGGTGCTGAACCTCAACAGCTCCATGCAGTTTTCTTCCCATTCTTAGCCCATGGCCACATGATCCCAACCCTCGACATCGCTAGGCTCTTTGCTGCGCGAGGTGTCAAGACAACCATCATCACCACCCCTCTCAACGCGCACACCTTTACTACAGCCGTAGAAAAGGGAAACAAGTCCGGAGCCCCATTGATCGATATTGAGGTGTTCAGGTTCCCGGCTCAAGAAGCAGGCCTACCTGAAGGATGTGAAAATCTGGAGCAAGCTCTAGGTCCTGGAGAAATGGAAAAATTCTTTAAGGCTGCCGCGATGCTAAGAGAGCAGCTCGAGCAGTTCTTGGAAAAGATTCGACCCAACTGCCTTGTGGCCGATATGTTCTTCACTTGGGCTACTGATTCTGCAGCCAAGTTCAACATCCCTAGGCTTATCTTTCATGGGACTAGCTACTTTTCCCTTTGTGCTTTAGAAGTTGTTAGGCTTTACGAACCCTATACGAAAGTCACATCTGACGACGAACCATTTCTTCTTCCTTACCTCCCCCATGAAATACATATGACAAGATTGCAGCTTTCAGAAGATTTATGGAAAAATGGTGGCAAAACAGAATACAAAAAGCGGAACAATGCAGTCAAGGAATCAGAACTTAAGAGTTTCGGGGTGATTGTCAACAGCTTTTATGAGTTGGAACCGGATTATGCAGATTATTTCAGGAAAGATTTGGGAAGGAGGGCATGGCATATTGGTCCTGTTTCGTTGTACAACAGAAGCATTGAGCAAAAGTCGAATAGAGGTAAACAAGCTTCAATAGGTGAACACGAATGTCTGAAATGGCTTGACTCGAGGAAGCCTGATTCCGTGATTTACATCTGTTTTGGAAGCACAATACACCTTATTCCTCCTCAGCTGCACGAGGTTGCAATGGCTCTAGAAGCCTCGGGACAGGAATTCATTTGGGTTGTTAGGAACGAGGATGATCTTGGAGGATTCGAACAGAAAATGTCAGGTAAAGGTCTGATCATAAGAGGCTGGGCTCCTCAGGTGCTGATATTGGAGCATGAAGCCATAGGAGCCTTTGTAACACATTGTGGGTGGAACTCGACACTTGAAGGGATCTCTGCAGGTCTGCCAATGGTTACATGGCCTATGTTTGCCGAGCAATTCTACAATGAAAAGTTGATAACTCGGATTTTGAAGATTGGGGTCCCTGTCGGAGCTAAGAAGTGGACTACAACGCCTTCTATAGAAGATGTCATACCTCAAAATGCCATAGCGAAAGCTTTGAGAGAAATCATGGTGGGTGATGCAGCTGAGGAAAGGAGATGCAGAGCAAAAGAGTACAAGAAAATGGCATGGAAGGCTTTACAGGAAGGTGGATCTTCATATTCAGACTTAAGTGCATTAATAGATGAGTTGAGAGGTTTATCCACCTAAAATCGAGGGAGGCTGCATTTTCATCTTAATAGCTTATAATAAATAGTGCGATTATGTTTTATGTATAAGCATTAGATATAATTCTTACCGTCAATTATTTTTGAACTGGTAACAAGATCACATAATGTTCCGTATTTCAATTTCTTATTCAGCTCTTACAAATTTTTTATATATAACTCTTAAAGCTACATTTTACAATTCATTTCCTTCCCCTATATATACTTTTTCGGTCAATTCCTTTAAATTGAACCTTTAGGGATTTTTTTATTGAAAACAAATATATATATACACCGTAAGATGCAATAGTTCCCACTACCAAGAAAATGTATTTCTTTAGAAAATAAAAAAATTAAAAAAATAATAATAATAATAATAATAATTGCCTACGAAGAGTAAAATTAATTTATCAAAGACGTAGAAAGTAAAGACTTACCACAATTTGTGTTTTTTTTTAAAGCCTTTCCTGTATATTTTTTTGATAAGATATACGAATTTTTGATATCTAGTGGATTTCACAACCCAACTTTAAGAGTGAAAAAGATGACTAGTCTTGCACCAATTATAAAATTTTGATTGTTACACGAGTCCAAATTTCACAATATATACATTAATCAAAACCAAATTCTCCACTGTCAATGACTCGATAAATGAAGAGGCAAGACTTGGGCAAACTTCTAATCAATCAGTCAGTAGTCTATAAGACATGTACACCTCTATTATTACATTTGATTTTTTTTACAGCAACTTATTTATATCAATTATCATCCATATATATATAGTATATGACGTAACAAACTTCCTAATAAAGTGCCGAGACTAAAGGTGTGACGTCCATTCATCCGATAAATAATGGATCATAAATATACACCGCAAAACCGCATATAATGAAACATAATCTAACATCATTCTAATATACTTTCCCACTATTATTTCCCTCAATAATCATACATTTTAAACAAAGATCAACATGGATGTTCATGAAGCTCAAGAGCTTCATGTTGTTTTCTTCCCATTCATGGGTCAAGGCCACATGATTCCGACCCTTGACATAGCGAGGCTCTTTTCCGTTCACGACAATGTGAAGGCAACCATTATCACCACCCCTCTCAACAAGGCCACCTTCACCAAGGCCAATGAAGAAAGTGAAAAAATCGGAGATCCGGTTATTAAAATCGAAGTATTCAAGTTTCCTACAAAAGAAGTTGGCTTGCCTGATGGATACGAGAGCCCGGATCTATCATTAGGGGTAGGGATGATCCAAAAGTTCTTTAAAGGTACAGAGATGCTAAGCGAGCAGCTCGAGGAGTACTTGGAAAAGGTCCGACCCAACTGCCTTGTGGCTGACATGTTCTTCCCATGGGCAACTGATAGTGCAGCAAAGTTCAATATCCCTAGGCTAGTCTTCCATAGGATTAGCTACTTCTCCCTTTGTGCTCAAGAAATTATAAGGGTACATGAGCCCTATAAGAACGTGTCCTCTGACGATGAACCATTCATTCTTCCTTCCCTCCCCCATAAGGTACAGATGAGAAGATTGCATATCTCGGAAGATTTTTGGAAAAGCGAGGGATCAGAATTTAAACGGAGAATGGCCAGGATCAAGGAATCAGAGGTCAGGAGTTATGGAGTGATTGTTAACAGCTTTTATGAGTTGGAACCTGATTATGCAGACTATTTCAGAAAAGAATTGGGGAGGAGGGCGTGGAGTATAGGTCCTGTTTCAATGAGCAACCGACGCGCTGAAGTTAAGGCTCAGAGAGGCAAACAGGCGTCAATAGATGAGCACGAGTGCATGAAATGGCTAAGCTCAAAGAAGCCTGATTCGGTGATTTACCTCTGTTTCGGAAGCACATCAGTCTTCATAGCTCCTCAGCTGCAAGAAATCGCAATGGCTCTAGAAGCATCAGGAAAGAATTTTATCTGGGTCGTGAGGGATGGTGGTGATGGAAAAAATGAAAAGTGGCTACCAGAAGGATTCGAGCAACGGATGGAAGGGAAAGGTCTAATAATAAGGGGATGGGCTCCGCAAGTGTTAATCTTGGAGCACGAAGCCATAGGAGCATTTGTGACTCACTGTGGGTGGAACTCTATACTAGAAGGGGTCGCAGCTGGTGTGCCAATGGTTACATGGCCTGTTTTCGCTGAGCAATTCTACAACGAATTATTAGTGACTCAGATTTTGAAGACCGGTGTCTCAGTTGGAGTTAAGAAGTGGGATAGGAAACCTTCATTAGAGAACATCATAAAGCAAGAAGTTATAGAGACAGCCTTAAGAGAAATCATGGAGGGAAACAAGTCAGAAGAAAGGAGAATTAAAACAAAGAAGTTGAAGGAAATGGCAAGGCAGGCTGTTGAAGAAGGTGGCTCATCATATTCTGATATACATGCATTGCTAGCTGAGTTAAGAGGTTATCAACTCCGACAGCAAAATTAGCAACTATGTACCGTAAATCCCTCTCAACTGTACTCCTTTTCTAACTCTTTGCCATTGACGACAATGGAGTTTCAAGATAAAAATCCTTAAAAGCTAGCACTTCATAGTCTTACGAAGTTACGCGCTTACACACTTATTGAACTTACGAATCATGTTTCTACAAACACAGGCCAAAATAGTATAGACTTCAGCAAATAGCTGCTAAGACTTAACAACCTCAAACTAACACATCCTTTGGTAATTTCCATTTTTTCATTTCAAGTAGGTACAATTTTAACAACCTTCATCACTTGAACTCGAATTCAACACCAAAAAAAGGGAGGTCTATGTGTAGCTCATGTACTTATACGAAGTAATAAACTTATTGATACCTCCATCTTAAGACAACAGACCTCGATTAATGTTGACGATCCACTTTTGCTATCTTAACCCTATATTTTCAAAGTAGAAGTTGTTAAATTCATAAATATACGATTATACCATATAGTTTAAGAACTATTTTTCCTCATGAGGAATGCTTCCTAGTGACTTTTTCTTACCACTAAAAAGAACCCCTAGGAATTAATACTAGACTCTAAGACCTTTGGTTGGCTAAATATTATGTGGGACGTCAAAATTCCCATGAATTTCATTTTCATCCTCTTATTTGGTTGACACAAAAAAGTGAAAATGGGGGCAATGAAAATTCATGGGAATTTTACTTCCCACAAAACATGGGAATTCACTTACCTTACCCCCCAGTAAGTTGAAATTCCCATGGGAATTTACTTCCTCCATTCTTAACCAAACAAATTCGTTAAATTCCTATGATTTTGATGATGGAATTTATTTCCCACAAATTGAAATTTCATAGGAATTTACACTTCCCTAATGAACCAAACGACCCCTAAATATTGAGTGCTACAGTTGCAAAACACGTCAGATTACCCCTAAACAAAATGATAAATCAACCAAATTTTTTTTTGCTTATTAGTACTTTGTACTCCATTTTCTTTTTAAATGAAGGTCACCCTACAATATATAATAATTCCTCCAACAATATAACAAGTTAGCCCAAAACAAATAGGTCACACAAAAAAACATAGTTGTGATAAGTTTCACAAATTTATAACTACATTAGTGATTCTTTCACAAGTTGACCAAAAGATATCAAATCTACCAATTATTTTGAAACAGAAGGTGCATATATTACTCTATTCCAAATCATGATATTATCAGGGAGAGAAACAATAAAGAATACGTGCAATGTTCAAAACCAAAGTCTACAGCCAACGAATACAGAAGCGAAAAGTCTTCAAACTTCTCTTTCTTATTTTGGGGACAAAAAATTCATTCTTTACAGTAGTTAAGAAAACCAGTCAATTTTCCCAACCATTTAACTTTCGATTTTAGAAGTAGAAGTACTACTAGTAATAAAATTAGAAAAATAGACGCGAATGACATAATGGATTATGTAGGCATACAATAAACTCATTGGCATTTGGCACGTCTAAACTGTCAACTTTGACTAGTCTTTCCTCATTAAAAAGTAATTCTAACTCTTTTAAGCCAACATGAACCATCTACATATACCGCTAAAAACGAACCATCAAGTTCATTCTCATTCTATCATCTCTCAACTGTCATATATTCCGGAGATTATATACCAAATCAGAGGTCGATATGGGTGCTGAACCTGAAGAGCTTCACGTAGTTCTCTTCCCATTCATGGCACATGGCCATATGATTCCAACCCTTGATATAGCAAGACTCTTTGCAGCTCGTGATGGTGTGAAGGCAACCATTATAACTACCCCTCTCAATGTTGCCGTCTTCACCAAGGCCATAGGTAGCAGAGAGAAAATCGAAGCCCCAACTGTTAACATTGAAGCCTTCAGGTTTCCGGCTCAGGAAGCTGGCCTACCTGAAGGGATGGAAAACTTGGAGCAAGTATTAGGTTCTGAATTAATGAGCAACTTCTTCAAAGCTACAGAGATGCTAAGAGAGCAACTCGAGCAGTACTTGGAGAAATTCCGACCTAACTGCCTTGTGTCTGACATGTTCTTCACATGGACAACTGACCTTGCAGCTAGGTTTAACATCCCGAGGCTAGTCTTCCACGGGACTTCCTCCTTTTCCCTCTGTGCTCAAGAAGTTATTAGGCTACATGAACCCTTTAACAACGTGTCCTCTGACGAAGAAACATTTGTTCTTCCCAATTTTCCCCATGAGATACAGATGACAAGATTACAGATCTCAGAGGAATTAAGGAGCAGTGAGGATTCAGAATACAAAAGGAGGACAGCTAATTTCAAGGAATCAGAGCTCGAGAGTTATGGGGTGATTGTTAACAGCTTTTATGAATTGGAACCAGATTATGCAGACTTTTTCAGAATAGAATTGGGAAGAAGGGCATGGAATATAGGCCCTGTTTCACTGAGCAATAGAAGCATAGAGGATAAGGTTCAGAGAGGCAAGCAGGCTTCGATCGATGAACATGAATGCTTGAAATGGCTTGACTCAAAGAAGCCTGATTCGGTTATTTACATCTGTTTCGGAAGCACGGCAAGCTTCATAGTTCCTCAACTGCATAAGATTGCAATGGCCGTAGAAGCCTCAGGACAAGAATTCATATGGGTCATAAGGAATTACAGCGGAAAATTTGAAGAGTGGTTGCCAGCAGGACTCGAGCAACGGATAGCAGGGAAGGGCTTGATTATAAAGGGGTGGGCTCCCCAGGTGTTAATTTTGGAGCATGAAGCCATTGGAGGTTTTGTAACTCACTGTGGATGGAATTCAACACTAGAAGGGATCTCAGCTGGCGTGCCAATGGTTACCTGGCCTATTTTCGCCGAGCAATTCTATAATGAAAAATTGGTGACTCATGTTTTAAAGACTGGCGTCTCTGTAGGAGCTAAGAAGTGGAGTAGGACACCTTCACTAGAATATCTCATCAAGCAGGAAGCTATAGAGAAAGCATTGACAGAAATCATGGTGGGAAAAGAGGCAGAAGAGAGGAGAACCAGAGCAAAGAAGTTGAAGGAAATGGCACAGAAGTCTGTTGAAGAAGGCGGCTCATCATACTTGGACTTAAGTGCATTGATAAATGAGCTAAGAGATTATCACCTCCAGACTCCAGACAACAGATAAATAAAGTTTGAATTTTCATCCTGTGTTTGGATTCTTTTACCTTCTTCACTGAACTCTTTTTGTATTTTTAGGCCATGCAAGTTTCAAGATAACAGTCTTTACATGCTTACACTTTTCCAACTCTTAATGAGCATGAGCATACTTCTAGTTTTCTGCAATCACAGGCCATTATCATAATCTTATAGACTTCAACTGATAAGACTAAGCAACCTTAAACTAACACATCCACTGAAAATTTGATGCCAAAATTCAACTATCTAAAGCCCTATGCATCTGGATTCTGAGAAATGGTGAAATGGAAATAGTGAAGAGTGGCTGCCAGCCTGCCACCAGGACTTGAACAAAGGATGGAAGAGAAAGGCCTAATAATAAGAAAATGGCTCCACAGTATTGATCTTGGAGCATGAAGCCATAGGAGCATTTGTGACTCGCTGTGGGTGGAATTCAACACTCGAAGGGATCTCAGCTGGCGAGCCAATGGTCACGTGGCCTATATTTGCTGAGCAACTTTATAACGAAAAATCAGTGACTCAAATTTTGTAGACTGGTGTGCCTTTTGGAGCTAAAAAAAAGGACTAGGACACCTTCAATAGAGGACCTCATTAAGAATGAAGCTATAGAGGAAGCACTGAGAGGTATTATGGGTGGGAAAAGAGGCTAAAGAGAAGAGAACCAGAGTGAAGAAGTTGAAGGAATTGGCACAATAGGCTATAGAAGAACGTGGCTCATCACATTCTGATTTAACTACCAATTGCATTGTGTGCAGTGGTGATTAGGACTAGGACTGCACTTGGTAGGGAGAACCGCATGTTCAATCCCCCGCAACAACAATTGGGAGGGGATTGGAATCTAACCACCCAAAACTGATCCCCGAATCCGAATTAGCCCAAAGGGTGAACCAGGTGGAACACCAAAAAAAAAAAAAAAAAAAAAAAAAAAAAAAAAAAAAAAAAAAAAAAAAAACTGATTTAACTGCATTGATAAATGAGTTATAAATGAGTTAAGGGTTATCGCCAAGAGTTCAAATTCCCTTCGTATCTCCTCTGTCATCTTTTTGCCTAAACTTTGTTTCTCCACTTTGGTTTCTAGGTCAAACATTATCATATTGCCATTCATGTTCAAAATCTAAAATTAGTTAAAGGCCAAGAGAATTGATGATCATTTGTTTAGAAGCAAGCAATTCTTCCCCAGAACTTGCACGCTCCATCACTTTGGATTCCCACCGACCACTTTTTATTTGCCTAGTGGTGGCTGTAAGATAGATAGTGAATAAGGCCATGTGACAAAAACTACGCCTAAAAGCAGGAAAAAAATAAATAAAAAAGGAAGTACTAGGGGTTTCTATCTCGACAATACCGCCCCCCCTCCCCGGGGCGTGGAGTAAAACTCAATGCCTAGATTATCTTTTTGTTTCCGATTCAACTGATTTAACAGCTGTCATATATTACCCAGAGTGATGCCTGCCTAGTGCCTACTCAAACCACTGGCATAGTAACATAATGTATGAATTTCAAATAAGGATCAGTAAGCTACTCAGCAGAAACCTAAAGAACGAAAGAAGCAAATTCACTCTGTAGTCTTTGCACCATTTATGACATTAAACAAAAAAAGGAAAAGGTTAGCCACTACATGAATAACTTACAATGCATGATATTCAGGTTCGAAAACAGCAGACATCTACAAATAGCAAAGGAAACATTATTACTGTAGTCATGTAGAATACTGATAGGTTCAAAAGCAGCAGAATTCCACAATCATTATTCATTACCATGTAGAATACTGGTACAACATTATCTACTACTCAAATTAGAGTCATTCCTAAGGGTTATCATGCATGTGTAAAACCACAAGAATTAATAAGCTGAAAACTACCAATGAATTCTCATAAGCAAAAAGGAAATGATTTCATCATATATAAATTATACCAAATGAAGAAATTTACAAGGCAGAAATCAAAAGCCATAGATCTTGGCGCCACATTCTTATCTTAAAACAACCTTCAACTTATCTTGCACCACCTCTCTCACTTTTGACTGCATAGATAAAATATGAGCGTACTTGATTAGCAAGTGGAAGCGAACTATCCAATTCAGAGTTCTATTTTTTAGATAAATTGTTACATTAGCTTGACAGCATAAGTTTTTTGTCCTTAACCCTCCCGTTGTATATGAGTAACATCCCTTAGGTCTCTTTGTAATACAACTTCATGAATTAAGAGGGAATTGAGATCTAAGGATTTTGTCATCAAAGAAAGCTGATCATGTGACAAAGGAGATATTCACTCTTTGAGAGGGATTTCAACTAGTAGCACATCTAAACTCCTCTGTCTACAGCTTAATGTTTGAGCATGGTCCTGAAGGCTTTGATTCAGAAGTGCAACAATCATACTATAATTTCCCAACAACCAAATAACACGAGGAAAAAGGAAAATCTAGGAAGTCATTCCATTTAATAAATAAAGACAGTGTCAAAGATACAACCAGATATAAGATATACCTGTAAGTCATTTATCTCCTCATCTGTAAGAGAACGCTCCATAGATCGATAAGCAATTCGATAACAGTGACTAGTCATGCCTTTCTTATTGGTAAAATTATCAATCAATTGTACCTGAAAAGAAAAGGTAATTTAACATATCAATATTACATTACCATAACCTAATTTCATAAGCAAAAAGAGCTTTACCCCTTCCCACAAAAAACAAAAACAAAAAAAATAAAATAAAAGAGAGAGAGAGAGAGAGAGACTGGGCCTCTGAGGTGATCTGGTTGTTGCAATGGAAGATTAATATGTAGTTGAAAACATTTTAATGAGAATAATGACAAATCATGCATGTCCTCTGTAAATGTTTTGACTAATGACATTGTATCTTCACCACAAGCATGTGTACTTATTCCTAAATTTTCATTATCACTTATTACCATTTTCAGAGGTAATAACTAATAACGAGTGGTTATGAAAACTTAGGAAGAAAAAAAACCTGTTGACGAAGATTCATAACCATGGTCATCCAAATGGAATATCCATGAATATAATACACAAATTCATTCATTAACACAATATATAACCTTGTACCAAAAAAGCAATAAATTACTTCCACCATTTCTTTTTAGTTGAGAAGTTTTGACTTTTGCGTTATTCACAGTTTCACACACTCACTTTTGACTGTCTTTTGTTACACACAAAAAGAAACATACATATAGGATCTTGTTAAATTCGTCTTGATGCATAATTTTAGACTATCAAATAGATAAAATTCTTAATGGTTTATAATTAAAGATATCAATGGCCAAAGGTATGCGTTGGCAACCATGACTAAAGAAAAACGTCAACTAACAAGAATATTTCCCGGAAATTACCAAATTATGACTCCACTATATGAAATAGCCAATAAAACATTGGGTTAACCAGCCATCTTTACAGCAGAAGGGTGAAAATGGTCTAGTAAGTAAGTAGTAACTAAAATGAAAGGGGTAATAAATCTTGAAAATATGAGATGGATGTATACCTCTTCCACAAGATCTCCTGCAATGCCTCGGACCACTTCACATAAGTTGTTCTCGGTAAATGACTCATTTATCCAAAAACTCATGTCTTTGTAGCAAGGAGGGAACTACAGATACAAAATCATTACTGTTCAGGCAGCAGAAAAAGCAGTTCCTTGAAACAATAATAATAGTAAACACCATTTTACTGCTTAATATTCAGGAAAATAAAATGAAAACACCAAAAAAAAAAAAAAAAAAGCATAGCATTCTTTAAAGCCTCATAAAAACCATAATGAATCCTAATTTTTACAGAAATGACTCATATGTAGAATCCTCAAAGGTTTTTTCCCCTTTAATTGTTTATTCAAGGAGTTTAATTTCCAAAGGCTTAACAGCTGCTTTGAAACATATGCCAATTTTTTCATTTTCACACATTTATTCAGCTTTCCCTTTAACAGAGAGGAACCAGCTTTAAAATGCACATCACTTTTCCATGACAATTCTTTCACTGAGAAAAATGAAATTTACATCAGCATATGCCACATCTTGTATATTTTGACTAAAAAAACACATATATTTCAAATTTTCTAGCTACTTACCTTTGAAAATGGCTTAAACTTGACACCAAGCTGGCCTTTAGTGAACTGTACAATTTATGCCCAGTCAGAACAACAAAATTACAAACAAACAAAGGATAGAGTTGTAACATTGACAGTGAAATTCACAGTGAGAAAAAAATATTCACTGGGGATCTGGTGACACCTGAGAAGTAAAACGCTCATCATTTGACCAGAAAAGTCGAATATCAGGTATGTCAAATAAGACCATTGCTAGCCTCTCTAATCCCAATCCAAAAGCCCAAGCATAGTTTTCTGTTTTACCACTTCTCTTTAGAATCTCTCGCTCCATTACTCCACAGCCCAACACTTCCAGCCACTTTTCCTGTCCAAAATAATCATGAAAACAGATGCAAATTCAATAACATAGAATCCATAAACTCATTAGAGCAAAATACCACCGGTCAAACACGAAGAAGAAAAGTAATAAGTAATGCATCTCATCCTACAGCAGGTCATGCATTTGAAATTTGTATCCATGGTGGAGGGTATAGGAGAAAGCGGTTGCAAATCTTAAAATGTAAGACGTTCTAGGGTTTGGATCACATCCTATTGCATCTAGGACTATTGATCCATAGAAAGAGCATACCAAAAAAAAGAAAACTCCAAATAGCTATCCCTGACAAGCATATAACTGAGTTTTCAATCACCCTACTATCTCCAATATTACATCGTATTGGTATTTTCCTGATACTTAAATCCCGCTTGCAAGGGGTGCCTTACTATTATGATTTTTCTAGTATTACGTAATTTGGAACAGTTTTTTTTCAAGATTGGCTACTTGCTTGATCTGCTGCTATTATGTTGGTGTTATTTAATACATACAGTTGCAATTCTGGACTTTTCATAGTGATGTTGATATTAATCATATCTCTTCTGCAAATGCATTCAACAGAAAACATATCAAAGACAATAATTCATGGGTCAAATTCAACTAATTATCACTAAGAAGGGTATAGAAAAGAAGATCAGATTTAGTTTTAATGTCTTGCAATTATAATTAC